CAATAATTCAAGTTTCTTTTTCAAATTGAAGAAATCTTCAAGTTTGGATTAAAGTGAAAATAAAAAAATATTGAATTGAAGAAATAATTATATTGAAGTATGAAAATTGATATCACAAGATAAAAATTTGAAATAAAAACTTTGACTTACAAGATTGAAAATTAAGAAAATTTAAAAATACAAGATTTTTTCTAACTATCTTGAGGCTAATTTATCTCCCATTAAATCCACTCTAAAGAGATCTTGAAATATTGATCTGCTTAAATACTTGAATTCTTGAGCTTTGTCAATTTGAAAAAGAATCTTGAATTATTGCACCTTTAAATTTTGCAATGTCTTTTTGAAAAGTTTCCATCAACTATTGTCTTTGTCTCTCATAATTGAGTCTTCTTTTGACAATTTCACCAACTTTGAAGAAAACTTTATTAAAGTGCTTTTAATAAAGTTATATCTTCTTGAAAGTGGTAAAGATGGTAAAAATGATTTGTTTGGTGGTACACAAATCTTAAATAATATTACTTTTGACTTTAGGACCCGATAGTTTCAACCAAAGAAGCAATTTTTTTCTGAAATTATTGCTGATTCCTCTAGCACTTTGCATTGATTGAACATGGCCACAAGTCTTGATTTTTCTGTAAGAAAATCTACATTTTTCGCTAGACTTTTCTTTGAAATTTTTGGAACACCAATATTCATTTTTTCTTGAATCCATGATTGAACTACTTTTGGACAACAAATTGTTTCTCTAAATTTTGACCACAATTTTACTTTGAATCTCTGAATAATTTTTTAAGTAAAATAGTCAGAGCTTGAATCTTGAAGGATAAAAAATATCCCAAAAGAGTATCCATGATACTCTCAAATTGAATGCAAATTGAAACAATTTAGATTTGAGTTTAATTTCATTACAAAGAGCTAATCCTTCTCTGTTAAGCAAACTGATTAATTCGCCATATGTAAGAATATCATATGGAATATTATTCTCATATTCCCTTTTTATTGACTTTTTAACTCTTTCAGAAAATGATTTTGGAAGTTCGGATAAAAACCTTTCGTTCTAATAAGCTTGATTACAATCTTTTTGCAAAAATACTCATGTTAAAAACACATCTTTGTACCAGCGAAAATCCTATAAACTTGAACAATTTAAAGTCATTAAAATATTTAAAATCTTTTCTGAAACATCTGTTCGAGAACCAACATAATGTTTAATAATACTAAAAATTAAAGTATTAAAACTATCATTGGAACCATCAGGTCTTATAGCGTCTTATAGCTTGACCAATTTGAATTTTTTCTTGTTCAGTAATATAATTGATCCACCAATTATTAATTTGTCTAGCAAAACCTTGAATAATATTATTTGTTGCTTCAATAGCAAAATGACCTCCTTGAATATAGGCATTAAAGTAAGCACCCATTCTTTCAAGAGTTTGAAAATTTTTGATATTCGGTTAAACCATCAATAATCCAGATGGTTATACCACTTTTCTGGAAAAAGTAAATAGAGGAGTATTTATGGAATTTAAAGAGGAACTTTTGAAAATTGAACTTTTGTGTTTTGAAGTTTAAAAATATAAGGAATTTTATCATCAATAAATTGATATTCAAGATCATCAATAGTGTTGATGTCATTTGAAGCGGAAGATGATGATAGTTTTAATAACTAAGTTGCTAGTTCTTTTAGAACATTGACCTCAGTTTCAAGAGGATTTTTTGGAGTAGCATCGTGCTTGTTTATTAAAACTGGCTCTATTGGCTTAATAGTTTTTGAAATAGATGGTGTCTCAGTTTTAAAATTTAATTCAATTCTTTGAGTTGAGAACACATAGATTGAAGAACTACATTAATATAATTATTTTGAAATTGAATATTTTTGATATCTTTAACTACAACTTGAGATTAATCAAGTTGTTCTTTAGATATCATTTTAAGAGGAGAAGCAAGAACTTTAGTATTTCTATATGGAATTACTATCTCTTGCAAAGGAGGATGAGATGATTAAATAGATTCACCAGAAGAAGTTTTCCGAATCTTTTTTGGAGTATTTGTATTTTGAATAATTTTTTCTTTCTTTAAAGTGGATATTTTATTGAAAACTTTGAATTATGCCCACTCAAAGAATCTAAAATCTTCAGGTAATTCAAAAATTCTTCCCAATAAGATTCTCTTTTTTGAAAAAGTTTTTCGAAAAAATGTTCTAAAAATTTTGACATCAGTAGATTGATCAATTTTAAATTCATTTCTTCTATTAATTCTAGAAGAAAAACATTGCATTCATGATCAATTCTCTCATTTTGAGAATCAGTCTCTCGTTTTGAAAAGGGGAAACCATATCAGATAAAGTTGAAGAATCAGGTTGTTCTGACTCTTCTTCTCTATCTTTATAATGAGGTTTTGAATTGTTGGGATTAAAATCAACACCTACAAGAGAAGATGTTGAAAATCTAGCAAATTAAAAAGAAGTTCTAGGTCTATCTTTAGATCTAGAAGAATAAGATGTTTGAAACCTAGAAGAAGATCCTTTAAAAATCATTGTGATATTTCCATCAGGTAAAGTAAGAATTTGATTTGGAATTGTTTGAACAACAGCAGGAATAGGATTTTGAACATTTTCACAATTCCATTCAAGTCCTCTAGGTTGAAGATTCCAAGGAACTCTCTTAGAAATCACGGCGTTTGAATGAAAATGATTAAATTCAACCAAAAGACTTTCAACTTTTGGAGATGAGAATAGAGCGCCATTATTGAGCTGAGTATTCATGAACTTGTAATATATTTTATATATTACAGCAAAAGCATTTGAACAATCATCAAAATCAAGATTTTTGTTTGAATATGAAGATTTAGAGTATTAAGAATAGCTCCATCATTGAGATTGATAGAAAAATTTGGATAACAATTTTAATAAACGGGACTACTTTCCAGATTTGATTCTAGAATAGATGATAATGAATTTTCAAATTTGAGAAGTTTCTTATCTCTAAGAGTTAAGAGAATAGGTATGTCTAAACTATGTTGAAACAATGGTTTAACAGTAATTTGTACTAATCCAACATGAAGATTTTTAAATTTCTTTCTGTAGGATTCAATAGATTCTTTTGAAAATAAATTGATAAATGCATTTTGACTCTTAAATGGTAAAGTTTGTTCAAAAGTTTTGATGATATAATTTTGAGTAAAATCAAACTTTCTTATTTAATAGATAGATTTTTTTTTTTCTACTTTTGGAATAGTTCAGTTATGCAATCTTTGTTCAATTTGAGCAATTCGTTCATGACTATTAAATCATTTGGTATTAGAGTTGTAAGAGTGAGGCAAGGTTATGGTAATTTTTCATTTTAGGCACTGTTCAATAGGAGAAATCTGGTTCAAACCTAGTGTTTGCTGAATAGAGTTGGTCAGCCCCATGTTTTGCAAGTGTAGGCGTATATATATGCAGATGATACAACTCGTCCCAAATTATCCTAATGGGATTGAAACACGACGTGTGTTGATGGTAGATGCTTACTAGATGTCAGATTCACCATCAAGGCCGACTATGAGTTACTAGTAAATATGAGCCAAAATTAAATGCTTATGAGAAAATAATACAATAAGCCCAAAATAATTATTTCGTGCTTTATCAATTTAACTCATTTCACTCAATTTGTGGTGTGGCTATAACCATGAAATTATCAGACTCTTCAAGCTATCAAGAATCAATTATTACTTTTAAGAAAAATCATGAAAAAATATATGAGTTGACAACTCAGTGGGTGGAGAATTTCGAAAATATTTATACTTTCTTATTTACACTTATTTATCGAAAATCAAGTTCATGTTATTTGATAATTCACATTATGACATTATATAATTATAGTCAGAAAGTGAGACATTCTTATTAGAGAGTAAAATATCATCTCAAAGTCATGATATAAACTTGAGCTAATAACCATACTATAGAGCTTGTTTGGAAGTGATTTTGAGAATTGATTTTTTGACCATTAGGAGAAAAGTGGGGTTCACCTGTGAGAGAAGAAGTCAAATATGATGATTGGAATAGTGAAATAACGGTCAAAAAATCAATTTTTTGAGAGGAAAAATTGCTCCCAAATAGGCCCATAATCTTATCACATCAAATATACTAAAAAATCCACCAAAAACGTATCCTATGAACTATATGTACATGATCAAGGCATCTTCATCCACAGTCAAGACCCCTTAGTGTAGTATATAACATGACCAAGGCCCTTCAGTTAACTAAAAAAGTATATAATCATGAGTAGTTTTTTGGTTGATCTCAACTCCACGTCTCACATTCCCATTTAGAAATAATCCATATGTAATCTTTTTAATTCCACATATGTCATAGGGGAAGAAACTTTCATAATAGTCATGTAATTGAACAACTAATTGCACATAGTTGTACATAATGTAGTAATATAATAACTTTATCAAGACGTGAAAATATTTAAGTTTTTCCACTCACAAATTTATGTATAGCAATCTATTAAATTGAAGGGCATTTTCACACTTTCACGTCACTACTTGAAATAAAGGTATAATAACTCAAATTAAAATTTGACAATTAAACTAATGTATATTCACCACGTAATTAGTCAACTTCTATAGTTATTCTTGCACTCCTATTTCCCTAATTTTTCCTCTCTTTAATTATTTATTTACTAATCGTCACGCATGATCAAATCCATTAAATCACTATATTTTCTTAAAGTCACTACCTTATACATATACAACCCATATACATGATTTAATCCAATACCTACACTTCAATATATATCATATAGTTTCATTTAAACTTGTAAATTCCGAGAAAAACAATAGTATGACAAAAACGGGGCTAAAATTTTAGAGTATTGAATTTTGGCACCAATTTCTGTACATGGAAACTGTCTCCAAAACTTTTGACAAAAATGTCACTTTCTGGGCCAAATTTCAAAAGTAGTAACAGGGATATTTGTACGAAAATTGAAGAAAATGAGTTAGAAATACCAAAATCAAACCTAAAATCCTTGTACCACTCTAATACCTCATGAATCAAGTATTTTACATTATATAAACACAATAAATTAAAGATTGAAGCTCCAATTTACAAACCCATTTCAAACTTCCTTCCTTTCAACACTAATCTTCTACACAAACTATAAACATTAATTTTTGATAAACCTCAAATTTGAGAAATTTTTCCATAAACCCAAAAAATAATTCAACATACTTTTACTTACCACTTTAAATCAATGGAGAAATTGAAGAAATGGAGAACCCAAGCTTGAAAACCTGCTTCTTCTTCTTCTTTTTTCTTTTTCTCCTTCCTTTAACTTCCTGTGGTTTTGCTCCCTACCTGCCTTTTGTGTTTGTCCCCAAAAATGATAAGCATAATGGATTGATTAGTGGATAACTATGAATAATTGCAAGTCAAGTCATCGATCTTCATATAACATAACATTTAATCTTTAAAATTTCAATTACAGTAATTAAATCCCTAGATTCCTTTATTATATCATTTTTAGCCCTCGGCTATTTGTAATTACAATTTAAGCCCCATGAAAAATCATTTATTCAACTTAAAACTTAATTGACTTTGATTTCGACCAATTGAATTTTGGACTTTGACAAAATAATTTTCTTGACTTTGACTATGAATGAATGGGTTATAGCAGTAGAATTGAAATACCTCAGCCTGGGTCCCAAAGGGAACGAAATTTTGGGAGAGGAAAATAACATACCTTATGGTGTTTTTGAGCTAAACTCACTTGTACATTGTCTACTTTGGTCGAGTTCAGGCAAGAAAACACATCCTGCCTAATGCTAGTATGCTACATCGTAAACCTATCTTTCAAGCTTCATTAACATTCATTCATGCATAATCACTATTCCTTGTGAAACTTCTTCAATAATAGTTTGTTTTTATATTCCAACTGAGAAACATAAATAAGCATACATTACTGATGACCTGAATAACCCAAAATTTCGAAAATATCACTATGTGCACAACCAAATTAATAGTGTTCATCGTACCCTGTCCCAAAAAGTAGAAGATAAAAATTCGTATAAATCTCAGTTTTGAAAAATCAATTCAATCAGCAGGATTATACTATTACCTGATAGTATCCAGGAAAATGATGTTATATAGCACCAGAAAGAGTTGAGAGTAAATTTTTTTGTAATATCTTCAAAACATAGCTACTCGATAATACAGGTATAGATTTTTCCTCTTCTTGAAGTTTACTCAGATATAGCACGATGTAACAAGATGGAATTGGGTATGAATGATTGGGTAAAGCAGTATACATACTCTGATATCCGTGTGAAACATAGTAAAGTCCCTGTAACAAACAAACAGACTCGACCACATAGAATCAAGGTCATGCAAGGGGCAATATTTCCATTAATTATTCCAAAATCCAGGCAGTTTAACCTTTTTAAATATAATTTTGTCATACCCATTAATTTCCCCACTTTCAAAAATCAATAAATCAACTTGGCACTTCTAACCAACTAAATCCCAACAGCATTGCGATTCATTCAATCAGTTTGCCAAAAGATAAATTTCTATAAGAAAATACTGCATTTGGCCCAAATTCACAATGGAAGCTCTAATTAACATCCACCACAAAATAAGAAAATATCAATTGCAAGACAGACAAGAAATTTAGAATTGAAAACTATCATGCTTATTGTAATTCAGAATTAAAAAAACTGAAATAATGGCATAGTACCTGAGCCTTGTTTACAACTTGGGTGACGAAGAATGGCACTCATAGGACGAGAAGGTGGCTGATCAAGATTATCACTGGAGGGACCATATTGTTGTTCACCTGGATTAGGAAGGGTCCTTGTCCCTATCTCAGGATGTGTAGGAGTACGAACAGTCTCGACTAAAGGGGCAGAGCAAGTGGGAATACTTTCGATGGTTGACCGAGTCCCAATTTTGCGTTCCAGAGGTAGAGAAGTGTTAGGCGATTGACATGTCTGAGACAAGGGAGGTGCTGACCTATTGGCTTGCAATGAAAGAAGAGGTACAAATCTATTAGTGGACAAGCTATTAGATAGTGAAGTCTGAAGCAGCGGAGACATTTCTATGCTCGTCACTCGAGATCTTAGGTGCTTGAGGTACATGGGAGTTGTTAGGATGTTTTTTATGACAAATTAGATTCATCTGCTCAAAAACAAGTAATAATTAGACTATAAACATAAGACTATACCAAAGCAATGATTAAATTAAAGGAAAACATGTAAAAGCTTTGTTTATATAGGTGCTCAGTAGATGCAATCGATCCTTGTAGTTAAAATTCAAACATATATATCATTTTTTGCACTTAAGTTCGTGTATGCTGATGCTTGAAAAGTAAAACTAGTGAACATAAAACAAAATTAAAGATAGATTATTTAAAAACTTACCTTGTTGTAATTTGAATTGAAGGGAGCTTTATTATTTAAAACTCTTTGTACAGTCCCTACATTATATTTTAACTAATAGTCAAAATTTTCTATTCAATTGAGAAACAATATAATAAAAAAGTAGGCTGGAAATAAACACGAGGATATAATTTTTCATCATTGATGATTCAAAATACGAAGAAAAATAGTTTTTACTATTCACATGGCAGATTTAGAAACAATATATAAAATTGTAGATTGTTTTTCAGATTTCATAATGTGGTGGGGAGAATTGTTTTGAAGTGTATGATGAACATTGATAGTTATTAAGAGATTGAATGCAAGACTAAATTACGCTCCAAAGTGCTCTTGAATTACACAAAGCAGTGATATATAGTACAGGGGAATATATAAAAGCCACATATACAAACAGGAGCTAAGAGAATATAGCCAATAATAGATTATCATTTTAAACTCAATGAGAATTACATATTATTCTCCAGTTATCTAAACAAAAACATATATGTTAATATATATCCAAGATATAAGGTGGATTTACAGAGACCTTGATCAATGTAAAACTTGAGTGTTCGTATATCTACTATTTAGTAAAATGAACATGGAATCATGAGGCTAAATTATGAATCGACCTGAAGCTAAGACTAAATCAAATCTGTTTACTCAATATAATCCACCATCAAATCAACTTAGTTCAAGTTCTGATTTATCTTGTACTCGGTAACACTTATTGACATGACCCATCCCAAATCACTTTAATGGACTCGACACGTGTCGTGCGCCGATGGTAGATGTCAGCTAAATGTCGAACCCACCACCAAGGCAACTTTGATTTACTTGACTGAAAAATATTTTTAACAAAATGTTAGAAAAGTTTCCCCTGAAATATGAACTAAACCACCTGAACAATAATCAATTTTTCCTCAAATCCGTACCTATAATATTAATCAAGGTAATCCAATTCTTCAAATACAAACTATTCAAATAAAATGCTGGCAAATCAATATTTACTTGCCTTACAATCAACAATCCTCAAATATACTAAAGATACCAATCTAATGAGTCCATAATAAACTTTTCTGATTTAAACTACATTTATCCCAAAAGAACACATAATGTATAATCTGATAAAGGATGTCATACAACCTATGACGTGTGGCTCAATTCGGTGGTTTGATAGGCTCCAAAGCTACTCAATTCGACTGATATCTATCTAATAAAGAAAAAGGTGAAAAAATATATGATCTTAAAGCTGAGTGAGTGGATAATTTGCAAATAAGTAAACTTTTCTCAGTTATGCATATTTTCTAAAAATTCTTGCTCTACTAAGACTTCTAGAAATTCTGAAATTTGGTAACACTTTTAAACCAAATATGAATGCATCATAAAATTCTTTGTTCTTCATTCTAGATAAGCATGAATATAAATAATCTAATAACAGTAAATGTAAGTGAAAACAAAATCTCCTAAATTTGTCTCCTAAATTTCAAAATCAAATTAATCTAATGATAAAACAAGATATATAATTCCACAATGACACATTTCAAGAAAGATGAAAACTAGTAACCAATATTGAATCAACCCAACACTAAAATGAAATCAAATCCGTTCATCCAAGACTTCAAATTCATCTGTTTAAAGCAAAAGGTAAATAGCGTTGATAGACATTCCTTGAAGATTGCTTGACGAAGAACACAAATTGATGAAATTATTTAGAACCTAAATGCACGTCTGCAAACCAGAAACAAGAACTTTATACCTTGTGATTTGTGTATCTACCAAATGGAAGAAAAGAGATATCAAAAGAAAAACAATTTACTAATGACATTAATATTCATAAAGCAATCCAAGGAAAAATACAAAAGTATGAATTATATATAAACCAAAAATCAATAAATTACATGCCCAAATTGTTTGTATCCGGTACAAATCACTAGCATTTAAAATTGTTGCTTCAAATCTCGCCTCCTCGTATCATAGAAGGTGCAGGTAGTTTCATCTTTATCGCATATATGATCGAGATTCTTCTTCAATTAGAGAAAGTAGCAAGGTTCCATTTTTACTTTTATAGAGATTATCCTTCAATTAAATAAAGAGGCAAAGACGGAAGATTTTTTTGGCCAAAATTTTATGGAGGCAAAATTTTTGGAGTAGGAAAGACGTGGATTTTGTGTATTTTTGGGCTTTGTTAGCAAAAAATAATTATATTTTCTACACATTTTTTAATTATCTTTTTGCTTCAAATTATATTTTATAGGGACTAAAAATACAAATAGTAAAAAGAAAAATTTCCTACTAATTATTAGCCTACATACACTTTAATTACTTCTTTTTGGGCAAAAGATATATTTTTACCATCAAATTTTTATGTCCGGAAAAAAATGGAAATTTTTGTGGGCACAAGTCCTCCCATTATTGAAAAATCTGGAACACACCACAGCCCTACAGAACGTCATTTTTGTGGGAAAAGTAAATTTCTCCAACAAATTTGTAGGAAACATATAAATTTCTTGCTGCGATATTCTACAATTTTGAACGAAGAGACACCCACCTCGCACATACAACACACTTGACTTGCACGTAATATGCAAATATGAGCATGTACGATACATAGAATAGTTTTTATATATTCTAACAAATTAATTCACATAATATATTAAAAAATTATTTAATTTTCGAGGTAAAACAATTTTTTTTTAATTTCGAATAAATATTTCATAACTAATAAATAACATTCATCTTCTTACTTTTTTCCTTAGTTGTAACAAAATCACGTGAAAGAAAGTCATATATCATTAAGGGCCTCTTTGATACAAGCCATTTTCCATGGAATTTTTCAATTTCCACCTTTTACTTTGTTTGATTGCAAAAATTTTCCCAGGAATTGATTTTCCTTTCCCCACCACGTGACCCCTTCTTCCTTGATTTGGTGGAAAACGAACTCTTTCGGTTTTGGTGAAAATTTGTTTTCCAAATTTTTTTTTTGGCAATTGGAATAAATTATATCCACAATTGTAACAAATTCAATTCATTTTATTGACAAGTTTCATGAAAAACAATGTCAAAAAAAAAAAAAAAAAAACCAAAAGATAAAAATTTCAGCATTTTCAGGTGGAAAATTATACTAGTTAAATATATTTAATTGATAATTCCCAATAAAATAAGTTTTAAGCAATTTAATTCCCCAAAATTTGTTTTCTTTTCACTCAAATTCCATTCTTACAATAAAACAGACCCTAAGTGAAAATAAAGAAAGCATAAGATTTAAAATTGAAGGACCTTTTAAAGACCAAAATAAATTTATATATCATTTGTGACTACTATATGTTCTTTTTACACAACCATTAGTATGATATGGCTTGCCCACAGAAACTAAAAAAAAAAAAAAACATATTTGTGCCCCGTTTGGTACCCATTTGTGTAACTATAAGAATGAAAAATATAGTTGTTAAGGGACCCACACAAGAGATAAAAATTCATATATGGTGGCTTGATATGATGGATAACGATCATATTTTTCATTTTTGTGGCCAAAGAAAAGAATCAAACGGGGGCTTAATAAACTAAAACAAACTTTAGTTTCTTTATTACTATGTATTTCTATGTATAAATGAAGAAAGCAACAAAGACTCGAATAGAATGATTATTTGGTCAACAATGTTGTTCATTTCACTAATGAACAACCAAGGTAAGGCATACATTTACATAGTTAACAAGTCCTTCAGCATTTTTGTGTTTTTTGTTCACTTTCATAATTTTATTATGTGCATAATTATTGATAAAAGGAGAGCACATTAAGCATCACATATATCCACAACATGCCCCCAAGAAGCGTCCATCAGAAGATGCATGAAACAAGTTCAAGGAGGGATAAGCATCATGCTTTAATAATGAGAGCAAATAATCATCCCGATGTAATGCTGGAAAATACAATAAGCCAAAGATCCACTCAAGCTAGAGCTGTGACAACCCAAACTCTTAATGATCCGAGTGCTACTAAATCATAAAATAAAACTAATTTAATGAGTATTCAACACAATTATATAAATTATTAAAAAAAACTTATCAAAATTCAAACAATGTAATGGGTTTAATAAATTAACTTGAAGTGATAAATATCTTAAAATATTTAAAATCAAATAAAATAAAAATAATTTGACTACACAATAATTTAATTATTTAAACTTTTGCCACCATAAGCCATCTCCATACCGACTGCCTCGAATCGTCATTTATCTAAATGTAGAAACATAAAGAGATGAGAATAATTTTCAATAAGTGTGTGTGGATAATAAATTCCTATATACATTTCTACAAAAAATTTATAACTTGCATAAAGACACGAAAATTAGACCAAACTTATTTGGTGCTAAATTCTCGTGCGTGGTGCTACTAAACTTTAGTCCATTCTAAATAGAGCATACGTAATGTGAACCGAAACATTAAACATACCCATAGAAATATTACATGCATAAATATTAGCTACCATAGACATAAAACACAATTTATCTTTCATTGGACAATTCAAAATTATGGAGGGGGTGATTGTTGGAGAGAGAGATCCTTAAGCCACGTGTGGGGTTGAGTATTCACGTATGATTGTGTAAGTATAGAACTATATTCAATATAAAAAGTATAAGAGAAAGAGTAAAGGTGGAGAGACAAAGAGATAGAGTTGA